GCAGTCCAAAGTTTTCCACTTCTGCGCACGGAACCATCCTCCATACGTATATTACCCTTCATATCAATTCAGGTTTACCACATGCGCTTTTCATTTTCAATCTCATAAATTGTTTATAATGACTTTTGCCAAAATTTCAAAATCGAAAGTTATCAAAACAAATTCAATGGGACTGAGAAATATTATTTTCTAATTTTTATATAAAATCGTAATATATTAAAAAATTTTTTTTATTTTATTTATTTTATAATTTTTAATCTTAATGTCAAAATAATTCAACTTGCAGTGAAAAGAGAACAGAAGACTATGCAAGCAAAATGTTTTGCGCTCACGTTGAATATATATGTACATACATATGTACACACATGCATATAGCAGGAATTAATTTCATTTAAAGAATTGGCGCGTCGTTCAATTCCGCTGTAGCGTATGTAGGGCATATTTTTAGGCGCAACATTTAACTTCTACTAGCGGGCGACATCTAGAGTCTTCTAATTGTATGTATTTGATATGGTATCTACAACGAGGTTAATATTTAGACTAGGATGACATCTAAACTTTGCCATAAACACACTTGCTATGTTTATAGTATAAATGGTGGCCTGGACCAGAGACTGGCATGCGTTGAACGCCAACTATTGCATATTCAATCAATAGCCCGATCACTTTACCAAAATCGACGTAAGAAGAAAAAAAATCCAATATTTTTCTATCCAATTTTCCAGTGTTAAAATAATTTTCACCATTGCTGCACAACACCCTTATTGCCGAAAAACGTTGCTTGCAACACTAGTCCTTTATGGGGACCAAATTTGGTGGAAAAAAATAGCTCAGTTTGTTTACTGGATATACTGAGTTTGCAAGACAGCACGCTTTGCGCTGGTGTTCACTCATCCACTGATTTCTTTTAGGTATCGCTACTATTAAGCCAACGTGCTGCTCAGTCATACAAAGCAGCAGTATTGTAGCCCGATCACTTTAGATTTTTTCAACGAAAGAATTCCAGAAAAAAATTTTTTGATGCAGTTAGGTGTCTCCTGTTTGGGTGAACATAAAATGAAAATTTTTCCCCCAATTCCGATATGGGAAATGCCCGCCATCTTGGATTTTGTGTTTTGCGAATCTTGGATTTTGTGTTTTGCGAATTGCGATATGGGAAATGTCCGCTATCTTAAATTTTGTATTTTTTATGATTTGCGCGCAAATTTTGCATTTTTGCAAAATTAGGTAAGTGGCGCGGTTATTTCAAATTTTGTGCAATTTCTATTTGAAATAAATTTAATTAAAGATTTTTAATTAATTTAAGAGTTATTCGTAAAAAACACTTGCACTTTGAACTTTTCGCACCATGTTTTGATGAATTTGATTCAAATAAATTGAGTAAATGAAAGTTATTCTCTGCAAAAGGTGTTCAGCCCCCCTTCTTTGGCTACACAGAAAGGAGAATTCTACTGCCTTAGGGTTATAATCTTTAAGTGTGGCCGAAGGCCCCCTACGCCGAATTGTGTTCTCTGCAAAAGGTGTTCAGCCCCCCTTCTTTGGCTACACAGAAAGGAGAATTCTACTGCCTTAGGGTTATAATCTTTAAGTGTGGCCGAAGGCCCCCTACGCCGAATTGTGTTCTCTGCAAAAGGTGTTCAGCCCCCCTTCTTTGGCTACACAGAAAGGAGAATTCTACTGCCTGAGGGTTATAATCCCTAAGTGGGGCCGACGGCCGCCTACGCAAAAAGGAGTTGGACGCCTGGTTCCGCTAAAGTGCACTTTTACCAATATTTATTTTACTAATACATACCAATTATTTTTTTTATTTTACTGTGTCACCCTTCATGTTACCCTTCATTCAATAAATTTTTTTTATATTCTTTTTTGGAACAATCGTCTAATTTATTATCCACAGACACGTAAACCCATAGCACATCTTTTCGTAAAAAAATCTAACTAAACCTATTCATTTATTTTGAACGACTCACCACAGCATTCCGAGCCCATGCATTAGATGCTCCCACCGCGTAACTCCAATCGATGCTTACCACCAACTCCCAAGTCCCAAATTTCAGCTTAACTGCAAAAATGTAATCAAAAAATGAGATAGACAAAGCGCAATGAATTTAAAACAAAGTAAAAGTTAAATTCGAATTCACTTATCTCGCGCTGCTTGTACTCCTTGCAATTTTATTTTCTTTGTCATGATGTCAAATGTCAAAAAGACAACAGGAAGAAAAAAAAAACAATGGGATATTTTTTTTAATACCGATTGGCGTTGTCGTACTCGGCAGGGATCAATTGTGAAGATAACCGGGTGGCGCACGATTTAAAAAGGGAGGGATATAGTGATGGAAGATATATACGAAGGACTTTAGCGAGAATATTATACATAGGAAAACGAGGGGTATAAACGGGCATAACAGCGCTCGGTGGGAGAAAAACGCTATCCAAACTTGTAATGGCAAATACGTTGCCTCTGTGCGCGAGTGTAGCTTAAATGTCTAAGTTTTAATATAAAGCCTGTGTTTTGTGTGTAGAGCCAGTGGATCATATCTTAGAATTAGAAAAATAAATAAATAAAGTTAATAAAAATGATCGGGTAATTGATTTGAATAGGAACCCCCACTCGGAACCACAAAGGAGCACCAAGAAGGATAGCCTCCATAGCGATATTTTTTATGTTTGGTGGAAAATCAAAAGCAGGAAGTGTAAGTCCATTCCACTGTCGCGCGGTTATGCACGAATTTATAGATTTCTTTGTTGCAGTGCGTGAAGAAGCTGGAAAGGGCGCAGAGGCAGGAGCAAACGCAACTTCCTGTAAGTCTTAGCTTTTAGTTCATATCTATAGACGTTTGATGGTACCCGATTATTGGGACCGCCCTGTGAACATTTTTGGGCCGATCAGGCAGCGTTTCCGGTCTTCCCCAAGTGCTAAACCTATTAGGTCAGCTAGGTGTGAACCGCTATATAGTGGAGCAAGAACAGAAGTCGCTGTTAACATCGGTGCTAACCTCACGCGTTTGGGACAATAAGTCAACTCTACATAAGTAAATGACAGCGAAGGCATGGTGAGTGAAATGGAGGTGGGGTAAGGAGTTGGTGGACGGACATATTACGGGGCTGCAATGGAAATGTCACGTTGGATTTATGCAGCCTAGGTAGGGTGGGCCGAATCAAAGCGAGCGTAGTTTGTTCTGACATCCTCCACGCCTCGCCCTAANGCAGCCTAGGCAGGGTGGGCCGAATCAAAGTGAGCATGTAAGGTGGCGAATTTTCACTAAATTAGTTTGTTCTGACATCCTCCACGCCTCGCCCAGGTTGGCGGGTTCGAAAACCCACGCCCGAAACTTGGAGCTAGCTGAAGCAACCGACCAGGGATGATAGATTTGGGCGTGGAGTGCATAGCGCTCACAAGAGGATGGGTCATAACAAGGTCGTTTCACAAATATTTGTAATTTAGTATTTAAGTTAATTGTGAAACATATTGAATGCACTAGTTAAATTATGGGAGCGATTTATTCACATAGAATTGGAAATAGGGTTGATGATATGGTGACAGGTNAAGAACAACATTTTTTTCTATGAATCGACATACTTTAAGCATTGTTGACGCTATTTCCATTTGAATGAGGAAATAGCGTCAATGACTTTATTTCCAAATTTTTGTTGACTTTATTTCGCTTTTGAAAAGGTAATAATGTCAATTGACTTTATTTCGCACCAGGGTGGGAAATAAAGTCAATTGACCTTATTTCCATTGACCTTATTACCTGTCACCGATGATATACTTTAAATAAATTATGAGTCTGCGAAAATATCTTTTCAGCATATGAATATACTTCTTAACTTTTTCCCGAATATTTACATACAGGTTCGAAATTATGCCAGTAACATTCAAATATCGTCGCTTGGATGGAAAATTTCCGTAAGCGTCAGTTTGACAGTTTTTAGTTAAAGATGCAGTTATATATTTTAAAATCAGATATTTCTGGAGATTTTTTTTTTTGCGAAACTCACGATTAGGCTAATTAGTGAAAATTATTGTTAATTTATAAAAAAATTTATCACATTTGGCGTATACGACAAAATTTTGTTAAACTCATAAATGGTTGACAGTAAACTAAAAAATAAGATAATTTAAGAATTTCGTGAACTAGTACATAGCATTCTCCGGCACTTTGGAGAAAATCTGTAGTCGAGTTTCTGAGAAATTGAATTCCAAACTTCAATTGTGATTTCCCGAAACCTGCCGAAAGTAACATGCAACGACCTTTTATCTAGGCGACGATATAACATTTAGCTAAAATATGCATCTAAATAAATTATAATTGTCATTATTTTCGCAGTTGAAGTATATGCCAGGCGAGTAACAGGTATATTTATACATACATATGTAAGTATACCTAAATTAGCACGTTGAGCTTGTATAATCATCCCTCTAATGCATTAATTCTATATACGTTAGGACCAACGCCCGACGCAGTTATGTCTTTATTTAATAACGGCCTTATGACAAAATATTCAAGAAATATATTTTTAGATTTTTATTTACTTCATTTCATACATTAATATTTACCTGATTTTTTGTTTAATAAATACCAGGAATAAATAAATAATAAAAAACTATTTCACTTAAGCTTAACCAACTTTTAGTTGCTCGGAGCTAATTTTGGAACGCTTCATGAAATATATTCATAGACGGTAAATGCAAGCCTGGGTGCATCGTTAATGAGCTGAAGAACCAAAACAAATTAAATTTGTGGAATGGAGCCTTTTGAAATGGCCTTTACAAACGGCAATGAAATTTCGACATTATTCAAGGAATCGTGAATATAAGCTGCCTTTCATTTGGCATATTTGCAAAAATTATATTTGTTACAAAAAAAAACAACATTATTTTCTATTTTTATTATTATATATTTTTGAAATAAAAATAATCCACCTTGTACACCAGAAAATTTCTTTAAACTATCTTGCGCAGCAGTTTGTTTATATTATCTTCACGGTTACCGAAATCACCAACGTAGTGGCCACAGTAAGTTCGAGGCTTTCTTGAAGTGGGATCCAACAGTGAATATTTCGTGCGCCAAATAATCAACGCACTGAATATCGTGCGCTTTGTGCAATTTGCGTTCGATCACAAAGTTGTCA